AAGGACAACAGCCCAGGTGCTGACCGTTAGGGGTTTTAGGGGTTTAGGGGTTTTAGGGGTTTAGGGTTTAGGGGTTTAGGGGTTTAGGGGTTTGGGGTTTAGGGGTTTAGCGGTTTAGGGTTACCGCCGAAGGCGTCCGGAATGAAGAAGCATGTTCTCAACCGGAGGCTCCAGTCCCACTTAACCAAGCTAGCGCTGTGTCGCCAATACTATTTGGGTGGTTCCTTATTATACTTATAGTATATTGGGCCCAAAACCCTATTCAAATTATTAAGGCCCCTATAGAAAAAAATTGGGCCCAAAACCCTATTCAAATTATTAAGGCCCCTATAGAAAAAAAACAGCAGGCTTCATTCTAAGCGGACCTTCATTGTCACTGGAGCCCTCCGAGCAACGAAACCCCGAGGCTTGAGATCCAGGGCTCAGATAGATCATATCAGGTTGTACTATATTATGCTATAGTGCTATAGCATAGTATGTTTTATCATTATGTTATATTACATGATAGTTTATTGTGTTTTATCCTATTCTAGTACAGTATAGTAGATTATAGTAGATTATAGGATCTTATATTATATGATACTTTATGCTCCTCTATTATACGGTACAGGGCTTAGCTTGTAGGGAGATGGCACATACATGGGTACTCATAACCCCAACCGAACAAAGCAAGAGCCTGAACCCGACTTAGCCCTGTCCAGCTTAAGCTTTGTCGGGCTTAGGGCGAGCCTAAGATCCCCAAAACAGAAAAGAGGGACTTTGTCGGTTTGCAAACGGTTTTGAATGAGGTTGCTACATGGGTTTGCTTCAATGTTTCACTCCGTTGTCAGGATTTCCACCCAGCTTCCATACCGTCTAGGAGCGACATAGTACCGGTACCGCAACTATAACTACCTTTAATTGGGGTTATAATTACTTGTAAGTATAGTTACCTTATTTATATCCCTAGTTACTAAGAACCCTAAGCCTCCACCCCTGCTCCCGCCTCGGCTTGCGCAAGCTCTGCGGCAAACAGCTCCAGGTGGCGCCGCAGGGCATCTTGCGATCGAAGCCTGGGCAGCTAAGCCCACTAGCCGCAAAGGTCCCTTAAGACCCTACGGCACTGATTCCGTAAACACCTCATCCCTGAACCTCCCAAAAGCCCTTGTTAGTCTAGAGCCCCTAAACCCCGAATGCCCCCGAAGCCTCAAGACCCCTCAAAAGATTGAACCTCTACACACAAACCCTGAGACCCCCAGACCCCGAACCCTAGAACCTTTCGCTCTAAGGCCTCCAAACCACTACCCTTAAAACCAACACTCGAGCTTTCTTAAGGAGATAAACAAAAAAGCCGACTATGGCAGTAGATCCAAGACATGCAAGCCCTATATGTACCCAGGAACCCTTCTATCAGGGATTGTGAGAGGAGCACGACTTCGAACGGAGCTGTGGCGCGAGCACGATTCTTCAGGTTCGTGAGCAGCAACATAGACTTCACGTTGAATTCGGCGGCCCCGAAGCCACGACCAGATTGCGGAAAGATTTGCAGAAAAGACGGTAACATAAAGCACCCTAAAACTCCGTAAGCCCCTAACACCCGGAATCATTGAGCTCCCAACTGCTCCGCCATGTCAGCTGCACGGACCTTTCAAAAGGTTTAACGTACCCTGCCTATAAGGGCAGGGGTTTTCTAGGGAGTGAGTGTAGAGATTTAGGGTTTACATTTCGTGTCAGGGTAGCGGTTTTAGTTTCCGGCTTAGGGGCTCGCGATACTGGGGCTCATGATTTAAGGATTTCGGGTACAATCACTCAGAGTCGTGCCCTTGTCCGACGTGTCTACAAAACAACAATGAGTCAAAGGAAGATTGAGACTCATGGTTCAGGGTCTTTCCGGTGAAGGTTATGGACATGTTGTGATACAGTAAGATATGAGAACGCATCACTAACCTTGAGTCTCATTCTCAGCGGCAGTGCTGACGCCTCAGGCCCAAACCGCAAACTAGAACAGCATCGATAGCCACTGACCACTGACGAACATCTGCAACACATCAGGCCTGAAACTCCTTTGTGAACGGCTACGGGTGTAAGTACCCGAATCCATGGCTCTGGGGGTTAGAGCTTAATTAGGGATCTGAGCATGCAGGGTCTGGGGATTATGTGCAACACTAAATCTGGACGTCCTCTCTTGGCCAACAGCTCATTCAATCACCGAGCATCTCACGGCTGCTGCATCGAGGCCTGCAACTTGGTCAAAAAGACGCTGCACCTGCAGAAGACGACGGCAATGTGCACCGAGTCGAGGCAAGTTTTCAGCAGCATAAACCGCAATAGAGACCATGTAGCTGCGCGTCAATATAACTTCCCTTTGCTTACATGCCCGGCAGGGCCTGGATTGTGTTGAAACCTCCACCCCGACACCCTCCCCGCCACAATACTTGCCGAACTGCCAATCCCAAGTAGCGCTCAACTTAAATCCTAGGTCTTGGGCTTGCAGAGTACTCAGGAGGTGACCCACTTCGATCGCCACTTCGATCGTCATAGCCAAAAGATCTACGACAGCGTTTCTTAGCATGGTCGTATATACCAGCATAACTTACCAGTAAACTCTGAACTCTAAGCCCCCCCGAAACCCTAAACCCTAAAGCAATTGATTGTGTGTCTCAGGCATCGCCGGTGATTTTATATAGGTCGCGGCAGGGCACGTTCACTGATCGAACGACTGTGCCAAGGGATGCGTTCAGGCTCCCAGGTTGACATAGGGGCCGCAATAGATCGAAAAGGTTTTTGAGGTACATGGTTCTAAAATTTTATACAAGGAATGGTGAACAACATATTTTTCAGGATTGCTAAGAGCATCATCTTTCTCGGTGCAGTAGTCCCGCTCCCCCAGCATTGGATGGTAGCAGATGAGCTGCTACTTCTAAAACAACACCACTCTTACCATCTCCTCCTCCTCCTCCTCCTCCATCTACAATTCAAGCTATCATGGCAAAAGTGATGTGAACCATCGCAATGACAAGAGCAAACATGAGCAAGCACAGATCAGCTCCGAAGCACCCTCATAATCATGAGAGGCTGTAGCCTGAAAAGTAAAGGGAACCCCCAAACTTAAAACCAAACTAAACCCTAAACCCCAAACCCTAAACCCCAAACCCTAAACCCTAAACCCTAAACCCTAAACCCCTAAACCCTAAACCCCTAAACCTCCCTTGGCTTCCGAACTTCAAAAGGCCTGGGCTTCGGTGGTCTCCACGCTGGCAGTGACTTCTTCAGCCTGGGCTCAGAGATCCCAAAAGGGTTAAACGAGGGTTTTGGCTTTGGGTTTAGCGGGTTTAAGGCTTGGGGTTTAGGGTTTAGGGTTTTTAGGGTTTAGGGTTTTAGGGTTTAGGGTTTAGGGTTTTAGGGTTTTAGGGTTTAGGGTTTAGGGTTTAGGATTATTTGGTTTTGGGCCGGTTGCTCTTCATAGCGTGGTATAGATGTGTCCAGGGGCCGCGTGATTCTTACGGTTCCCCTGGGTCACTGCGAAGTTGGTTCTGCTAGAGCATGGCCTTGGTTGCACTTGTTGCCACTGCTACGAGCGGTTTAGGGTTTAGGGTTTAGGACTGTATATTACAACGATACTGCATGATTACAGCTTCTTTTTGCTGTACATTGCGCGAGCCTGCGCTCCTGCTGGTGCGGAATCTAGAGTTCGCCAGTAGCAAACACTGTCGCCACCAGCTGCTGAAGATATTTGCTGTAGATATACAGGTCTATCAGTCTATCATAGATTGACTGATAGATACAGTGCTGCCGGTGATGACGGTGACAATGATAGTGATAAAACTTGTCAGGACTATTCGTCAATTCCTGAGGCCCCGGATCTATTCATCTTTTTCCTTGTTTGCCCTGCAGAAAGCTGGGGCGCTCTGCACTTCGACGGCTGACGTTGCACAGTTTCTAGCCGATGGTTCGAGGGTACTAATTGCAACGAATTGGTACACCAACACGGGCATCTCAACACAAGACCTTGAAAGGAACCCAAATTTGGAACAAACCTCACATGGAGCTGCCCCAAAGAACGGCTGGAAAACGAGATCCCGGCCAGTTGTTTGGAGGTAGGCGATACGGGCTTGATGAGCTCCGCTTCCTCTCACATATTGAGTTAATCAAGCTTTCACTCGACCTGAAGTCTCTGCACTTTGTAGCTTGGGGGTTGCTGATCCTGCTTCCGGCTTTTCACGATTCGGCGTCGGTGTCTAATATAACGCATTCTGAAGTCTTCACCCCCAGTCCACCTTTATCCCACATCCCGAAAACTCAGCTCGCTCTCGGAGCCACATTCCTTCTGCAGGGGCTTAACAAAAGTAGCCTCGTGCAACATAAGGGCGCTGCAAGATTCAATGGGGTTTTGTATGATTCCGCACATTCCCACTTCCTAGGTCCCCCCGAAGCTTCTCCAAAACAGCTACTCTTCAACGGGGGCCCAGCGGGACCCAGCTTGACTCTGCGATTCATTGCCTTCCATATTGTCTTAGAGACACCACTAGCAACATCAACTATGACCAATGATGTGGATTGTGGTTGAAGCTGTGTTTCGGGTCAAGGGGCTTAACTTGCCTAACGTCCAGTGTCATACACCTTACACGCACGTCCTTGCTGTGAAGTTTCCGCTTACAATCCTAAACCCAGCAGTCCGACAGGTGAGGTTTTTCAGTCCGAAGCCTTACATGTTGCATCCTAAAAGGCACACCTCAAGGAACAGGAAGCAAATCAGGAAGCTTTCGATACTCGGCCTACTCATAACAGCCCCTTTATAGCCCCACTGATAGTTTAAACTTTAAACTACAATGACCTTTGCAAATGTCAAGCGACTGCCATCATCCGGCCTCTTTCTCCTGCTCTGCCTCAAGGGCCTCCCGAGGCTTAACACATGTTCGTCCAGGCCGCCCAGCGCCTAAAGCCTCGACCCTTCAAAACCAAACCCTCAGCCCTGTAAGCATCAAGCCGCAAGGCCAAAATGTAACCCTGAAAAGTGAGATACTGGATCATGTGGGTTGCTATGTCTAGTCTACTTTGAAAGACCGTAATTCAAGACTTCTTGATTTCAGGAGACCTCCATGATGTATGGAATGCGCTGAAGACTGCGGTCGCCTTCTGCATACAATTGACTCAAACGTTTGGCTTGGCCAACAGTCTAGGGCGTTGGCTGATAGATTTGATGTATCTCCCAAAACCTGTTTGCTTGCAAGTGCCAAACCCTCAACCCTGAAAGCTCAACTCTACAAAGGAGCATCTGAAACAAGGGACTCTCATCGGGACCCAAAATAGAATACTTTGTATGAGAACCCCGAGATAAGCCACTCCGAGTTTGCGAAGCCCCATGAAACTCCGTGGAAAAAAGCGCTCATTTCAAAGCCTAAGCGGCGCTTGTCAACTTTTAAACATCCTTACATGACCAGCAACAGCCTGTCAAACACACTATATAGTAAGCTAAGTAACTCCCCGCCTCCAGCCGTGCAGCCTCTGCCGCAGCGAGATCAATCTCTGCACAGAAAAGTTCTGCTGACCTTGGCAGTAGAGTCGAGGGCTTCGATGATTTCAGGTTTAAGTGTTCAGGGTCGTTGGGTCTAGGGTTTTGGGGCGTTGATTGCGGGTGTAGAGGTTTTTGGGGCGTCAGGGCTTTCCGGTAGAGGATCCCGGGCAGGCTTGAACGCTCGTGAGTCAACGCTTAGGGCTCCTGGCGCGTTTCCCTCACATGTCTCAGATTGTCCCAGTGGGAGAAGCCGTGACAACATACCATCCTCATGGGAGTGTCGTTGGTCAGGCTGCTGTTGCCAGGTCGGATAAAGACGCTGCTGTACCAACGATGTGCAACCGGGAAAGAGACCGCACAGGTTAGCAACACCCCTGGCTCGTTGCGGCAGGTGACGAGGAGCTGCTCCAAACATGCTCGAGACGAGCACTTACTACAATCTTTGAACTCATCCCATCTTCCAGGTTTGCACTTAGGCTTGTCATCTGAAGCCTAAGCCGATAGTTTAAGACTATCCGTAGCCCACCATAGGCCATAGTAGTAGTGGAGGCAGTGGCGTTGATAGTGATCATGGTGGTGGTAGTCGGTAGTCGTAATCGTTGTCGTCGTAGTAGTACTGGTAATGGCAGATCTGATGCTATCCCGAAGCCCAACATCCCGAAACAAAACAACGCGCGAACCCTCGTGGCCCTGGGTCTCAGCACAAGCTCTCTATGATCCTCTGGCTACCCTAACCTGAAACCCTAAACCCTTCAACGCCTGACTGGCCCAAAACCCTTTCAGACGGAGATTACATGGCAGTGGAAGCCTGGAAAACTTCTTAGTTCCCGACGCCGAAAGCCGCTCGCAAGCACCTCCTTAGCAAAGATGCGAGACAAGGAAGCCAACACAAGTCGGATTGGAAATTGTAGGGTTCCAAGGTCGCTTGTGCTATTCCGGACAGTACCTATTCTTAAACTCATGCTGCCATTCTTGCTCTTATGTTAAACAGGAAACCTTACTGCAGCTACCTTTGGATTCTAGCTTATTCTGATTGTGACCTTTCCTGCTACTTACACATGCCTTATTACGCTTTCCGTCTGGCCGTGCCTGGGTGGTTCTGGAGGGTGTTTTAACTCCATACAACTTGATGTTTCGGGAGGCTTCTGCTGCTTGACATTATCCCAAGTCTTCCTCTGACTCTTAGCATTGTCACCCCTTCAGTTGTACCGCCTTCATGAGCGCTGTTGTTGTGATTGTGTTAGCACAAGTAGCTCACGATAACCGTGATCAGAATAAAGACGGTCTCCTCACTTCCCACTCCAAGCTACTACTGTGGGGAGATAAAGCGCTTCAGGCTGAAGGTAGGAAATTGGATTTGGAGATTTCGGGATTTAAAATTTCGTCCAAGCATGACCTAGGCCTAAAACAAACAATTCTCGCCACGAGGACACGGATGCTTTACGGCGCGATGCGTCCCTGTCCACATGCGCACACATGCATCAAAATGTATGTATACAAACATAAGTACAAACTTAAACAGACGCATCTATCTGTACATCTGTCTCTCTCGTTCTCTTCCTCTCTTCGGTCCCTGTGTCTCTAAAAGTTTACCCAAATTTCCCGAATGTCCAGGTGCTTCCGTGTCAACCCGCACGCAGCGGCGAAGCACAAACCAATCCCTGGGCATCGTCCGTGTCCTCACCATCCTCAGGCCACGGCCATCTGCAATGTCCTTGCCACACACTCACGCAAATCGAGCACGGTGCCCGTTTCTAAGAGCACTTGCAAGACGGGTATAACTTGGCTTCCAAAGCTAGCAACTTGGTTTCCAGTGCCAGCCTCTACAGTGGGCTCAATCGTCCTAGCTCCAAATAATTACAGAATCGTCCTTGCCTGGTTTATGGCCTCTTGATGCAAGGAAGATGCCTTCCTTGTCCTTGTTAAGAGGGTAGTGAGCTGTCTGCACAGAGACCCGAGATTTAGATCAGGCTGTTGACAAGTCTTCTATCACGACAAACTCGGGGCAGCCATATTTGCGGTTTTCAGGCCGCTGCACTCGGAGGCAGAGAACCCCCGAGTGTCCATCCACTCACAGAAGGTTGAAACTCTAACTGTCGTTTCGGGCATAGGATGTGGTTTGTGGTCTAATCTAGGTAGGGCTCTGCTAGGATTTATGGTTGGGGATTCTTTCTACCATCGTCTGAAAAGGCTTTCGGAGCTTCGTGCTTAGGGTTTTGAGGCTTTTGGGCTTAGGGTTTCGAATTTGGGCTTAGGGTTTCAGGGCTTCGGGCTTAGGGTTTTAGGCTTCTGGGCTTAGGGCCTTGGGTTTAGGGCTTTGAGGCTTTTGGGCTTAGGGTTTCCGGGCTTCGGGCTTAGGGTTTTGAGGCTTTTGGGCTCAGGGTTTCTGTCCAAAGTGATTGCGTGGCTCCGAGACGCTTCCGTGACACCCCATGCACGTGGCTCCGAGACGGCTCCGTGAGACATCAAAAATGTGCATAAGATCCTCTTCCACATCCTGATCACAAGAAGGACATCTGGAAGAGCTGCACGTCTTGGCACGGAGACAACCCACTGTCGTAATGACAGCATTGGCCAAGATGGCGTTAAGCGTGCCAGCAGCATAGTGCTGTTTTGCTCTCAAGAGCTTGCACAACTGCCAGGGTCTTTTCCCACGTGGCCTCGTGGATAGTCTGGGGCAAAAGCGCATGGGCAGACAAATCCCGTTTTATAGGGTAAAGCCCAGAAGCCCTCAACCCGAACCCCTCAAAGCAAACTACTTGTCAAAGGAACGTTCAACCAACGCAACAATACCCTCCCATCCAATCCCCCAACTCCTTGAAAGAAAGGACCCTGTTTCGGCTTAGGCTTCCGAAGGGAGTGGTCCTAACGTTACCTGGGACGTTTATATGAACCTTATTTCGGTCCTGCGGGGACCTTTCTCCTACTACCATCCAGGCTCGCAGCCTCAACTTGTAAGGCCTCAGAAAACTCTCCAAGCGCCATCGAAAACACCATGTAGTCCTCTCAACACTCCTGCAAGAATCTCATAAGCGCTACCGGAAAACTGCACAAAGTCAAAAGACCATCCAGACTTCCATCCGAAACGTGCCCACATCGCCTCGAGCCACTGAAGCCGTCGAGACAGCCTCGAGGTGGCTGCTGCCAGTGTCTCCTCGGAAGCCTGCTTCTCATGGTGACAAACAATGGACATGCGTTGGGGCCACAGTTTAGGCTTTACATAATTACATGCTACTTTGCTTTGGGGCCTTTGGGGTTTCTCATAAGGAGTTTGGGCTTTGTGGCCTTTCGGGTTTATGGTGACAACTAGTATCGCTACGATTGCTTTTATTGCCATTGGCGATGATCGCAGCCTTGGTGCGCTTATTTCATGATTAACAATATATAATATCTTGCTGCAACTATTAGTCTTGAAGCCGTTGCTGTGCCGCATTTTAGATCCAATGGCTCTTGGAGGCAGCGGAGGAGGATTTTAGCCTGGTCTACCTACGTAGTTTAACCAGAGCCGAGGCTCCTCGGGGTTCGAATTTTGAGTTAATCTGACTGTGCTTTGGCTCAAGATTTCCCAGTTCAGTGTGGGCTCAAGGCAGGAGCAACTCCCCTGGCGTTAAGGGTTCAGGGCTTAGGGACTGAGGGACTGAGGGAGTGTTGTGAGTCTCAGCCGTCGTCCGTGTTGCTCTTCTTGATGCCCGAAATTTGCTTGCTCATGATGAGTTGCTCTAGTTACTCTAGTTATCGCTTGTCATCCTGCCAATGTGACATAGAGGCCCAGATCCTTGGAAGAAGGCTTCGGGTGCACGTTGCTGTACCACAAGTTCTTTGACAAGATACTATAACTGCGCAAAAGCTATCGGGAAGGTTGGCGGCCTCACTTACTAGCCGCATCTTTTACTCTAAACCCGAAAACCTGAAATCCCAAACGCTACGTCCACCCTCCACTCCCTAAGCCTTTAGACTGTTAAACCTTGCTCTCGACACCCTTCCGTTCCCCTGAAACCCAGGCTCCCCTATGCCACCTCCTCCTCGGCCGTCCCCAAGCAGTTCCGGACAGACTCGAGTCTGGCCTGCCGTTGTCCCCTCCCAGGTCCTGACCCCTTAAAGGAACAGAAAGCAATGCTGTGGGGCCCCGGTTTTTCCACACACCTTCAGAAAGGAAGGGTTTGGGGGGTCTTGGGGGGGGTTCCTGAAAGCAAACCGCCCAAAAAGGGTATCCGACCATAAACGGGTCTGGGTCAACTCAAGCCTCCCAGTGCAAGTCTCGGGGTCTAGGCCTGATCAGGGATCAAACTGTGGCGCTCAAGATTTAGAGCTTCGTATTGTTCAGCATGTGGGGCTTAGGACTGTTGAGTTGATGGCACGGCTTGTTCTTGTTTCTTTAGACTTTGGGGTTTTGTGTTGTTGGAATGCGGCACTGGAAGGAGTGTTCTTCCTCAGCCTTGATTCGGGACTCGCGATTGTGGCGCCCGATGAAACATGTGGAGCCTTCCTACTTCGGGAATCCTGAGGTCTTGGCGTGTAGAGGATGGTGAACTCGTTTGGGTTCATACCCCCTGAACCCTCAAATCGCAACGACTACAGCATAAGCCCCACGTAAAGCCTACAGCCCTGAACTCCAAAATGTTACACACTTGAAGACCAAAGCCCAAACCCAATCCGAGAAAACCTGGTAAAACTGCACACACCCCAGTAAGACCCAGCAAACCACCAACCGTGAACACATAAACGCCAAAGCCTAAAACTTTTAGCCTTGAACTCGCTAACCCAAAATACAGACTAGCATTTCCCCTTTTAGGGCTCCCAACTGTATTCATTGTCTAAGATTGACAACATCTGAAATCCCAAACCCAGAATTCGAAAACCCTTGATGCCGCATACCGCACACACCTAACACCCTCCACTCACCTGAAACCACTACAGAACCATACAGAACCTATTGAAACCCGCCTTAACACCTGTAAAAGGCCATATTCAAGTCCAGTAAAGCCCTGTACTGTAGTATCCCAGGAGAACCCTAGCCTATTACAACCACGTATGAGGGCACAGTCTTCGAGGTGGCAGGGCCTCCAAGTCTGACAATGCTTCGGCCTCGTCGGGGGTGGGCTCGCGTTACAAAGGTGTTTTATAGGCAGGAGTAGCAGCAGCAGTAGCAGTGGCGCTGCAATAGACGTAGCCGTAGCGGAAGCCGGTAGCGGTAGCCGTAGTAGCAGCAGCAGCAGCAGCAGCAGCAGCAGCAGCAGCAGTGGCAGTGGCAGTGGCAGTGGTGGTAGTAGTGGCGGTAGCAGCAATACTAGGTTGTAGTTGTTGTTGTCGTCGTCGTTGCTGTCGTACTAGATGTGGAAATAGCAATGACAGACGCAAAGAGCCGGAGACCACGCCTGGGCTGCGAGGAGCCAGCCGGAAGAGGGCCTTGGGGAGACACTGTAAAAGCTTCTTGAAAGCCTGCGGTAAGTGTGTGGTTCTCTAGATTAGGTGCCCATTCAGGGTTGGGCGAAAGAATACATCACATTGTAGTTGGAACCCCCAAGGCCCAAGAGGAACTCATATCTGGAGACGCCGCATGTGTTGTAGCATGTGAATTGGGGTTACTGTAACTCAAAAACAGAGTACCCATGTCTGAGCGATAAAGCCCCTGTGTCATGGTATGTAGGTTACAGCTGCATCACCACCCAGTAGGAGCAAAAGATCTGGAACATCGCAGCTCCTCCACACACCCAAAATCTGGCAAAAAAACGGAACACCAGCTTAAACCATCCGATTCCCATGTTCCTAGTTTTTGGCATCTGCTGTAGACCCAAATCCGAAACGGAGGCTCGCAAAGTCCTAGCTTCCCCCTTAGCACATGAGCAGGGAATCTTGCAGTAATCGCCATTACCGGCCTTTTTGGTTGGTTTACTCAGACAATGGTCTTAATATCGGGGCCTTAGAGGCGTTACGGGGCTGTACAGAATTTACTGACTGGTCCTCAATGCTAGAATAGGGTTTTGGATCCCTTGTTGTATAGAAAAGACATATGGGGATTATAAGGCGTGTAAAGGACCAAGTATTCCGATCTCTGTATTCGTATAAGCATGCATTCGCCCAAAATGGCCAATCCTCTAGAATTTCAGAACATGCCCGAAACATTCGTCGGGTTGTAGGGCTTCTCGTTATGATGTAAGACAAAGTCTTTACACAAGTTGCATTAGGTTGTGACTCGGTTCCGGTCATGAGTGGCAAACGGGTTTGGGATCATCAGTGGTTGGGGTTTGGATTGCTCAGAGGGCTTGGGGTGTGGGGAAAGGTGTAGGGTGCCGGAATATACCAGAATGACGCCTAGGGTACTGTGGTTTATTCTGACGCCGCACTGGTAGGCTGGACGGCTGTTGGTGCCGTCCCCATGTTGTCGCAGGCGCATAGCCAAAATGCGCGCCATGAGGCGCGACATGATAGAGAGCAACACGATCAACCGATGCTGGTTACGGTCGGACCGCTCTCCTTTGCGCTTTCACAGGGAAATTCCCACTGTTCGGAAACAACCCTGGAGGGCTCGCTCATGACAGCCATCCCTTCTTCGATTTCTGGCCATTCGGGGGCCGCCGCTACCCAAGAGGCTTCCGCAGTTGGGTGTACGGGGTTTATTGGTGTTTTTTTGGGCGTGCTTCAGATTTCAGTCTCTTTTGGCTTTACGGC